TTGTTCTGTGACAAAAAGTTCAATTGAGCCAGTTGATATTTGCAAATTGAGCCATAATTTGATGAAAACCCTTAAATTTATGATTAGCAACGAGCCTTAGCGCAGTAGTGTAGAAAAGTGCTGAAGCTGGGTTATAAGGGATGCCTTTATGGATGGAAACATTATTGACGGTTGGAAGATTTTTATGGAAGCTATACTTGGAATTTGGAGATCAAATTTTCTTGCTTGGAAATTATGTTTTTACATCTTGTTTATTAAATATAAAATATTTTTCAATTTCAGTTGTTCGATTTTTATAAAAACAAAAATATCATAAATAAAAGATATACAAAAAATTGGTCTAGTTTGTTTGTTTTCAAACGATTTCTTCTTAATATTTTCCAAATATTTCTTAGAAATTAAAATCAATTGTCAGCTACATATCGTACACCGTCTTCAAAAGATGCACAACTCAAAATTTGGCATTTTTGGAATTATGCGCTAAAAATGTACCTTTCAGCAAAGGCAGTGCCTACTTACACGCGCCACGGTAACTTTTACGGATCCCCGGTAATTTTATCGTGGATCTACGTTAAAAGTTACCGTGGCGCGTTTGTGTAGACCCTGGCTTCATTAAAAGCTGAAGCAGATTTTTGTTATAAATTTATTCAACAATTTTTATTGGGCTTGATGCCGTTTTTAATTGAAAATTATTGTGGAAAAACAACAATAATTTATTTTTCTACAATACTTTTTAAGCTCAATAAAAACTGCTTAATATGATTTATTAGGCCAAAAAAATACGAAAAAACAAAAATTGTTATACATATGTTAAAAAACATAACGCAAAGTCTCTCTTGCCCATATGATTATTATGTCCTAAGAAATAGATTTTGCTTTCCCTGACAAACGTGTAATTTTGAGTAGTGCCTCTTTTGAAGAGGGTGTGCGATATGTATACATGTATGTACAAAACTACTTCCCTTAAAATGAAGGCATATTTCTCAAGCTAGTATCTATCCCCTACAGCGCTTATTTTCTATAGACATACATACATATGTATTATGTACATACATACTACCTACTACCTCAATTTGGCGCTTAGTATTTATTATCCAACTCCTAGTTACCCTTTTCGTAGATTTTTACAGCGTATGCACCTGAAATACACCCCAACCATCGAGTATGAATTCTGAAAGACATCTAAATTGAAAGCGATTCAATAGCAATAATATTCACATCTTGCCTACAAATGATTGCGTTACGTTGCGTTTTACCTCTCATTTTTTGAGTTGTTTGAGTTTGCTGTTGCTGCCACCGCTGGTGGTAGCGACGATACGATATACTCCGGTGTATAGTTTTTCTTCTACCTCGATGCGTGCTCACGTTTGCAAAGCCATTGCAAACACTCCATTGTGACTCAAATGTTATAAATGTTTTTGCCCATTTCACTCCGATTTGGTATTATTTAAATATGTTTTTATTGTCTCTCCGGTGCGCTCAATAACAAAATAGTTCGTCATTAACTCGACAACAATCGTGGCATTTAGTGAGTCGCTAATATGCTACATCGGGCTCTTTTGTCATCATAGCTTGGTGCGTACGAGTTTTTCCTACGCTCAGTTCCTCTCACTAAATAAAGCACTCAAAAATAGACTAGTTTACTCACGACGCTCCGTCGATGTTAGCGTCAGCAAAATTTATAATCTTTGTTAACGAATTAATTCTATTCATCTTGGGTTTCCGCTTATTCCCATCGATGTAACATCCATGCTGTGTCATTGCCTATTACAAGATCATTGACCCTTGACATTTGTCGAATTTTCGTGAGTTTATTGAAGGTCGTTCCGCTTCTTCTACTGGCGTTGGTTGTCCTTCATTTTTGTACACTGTCTTTGCTGACTCCCTCCCCATTTGCTTTGCCGAAAGACTTGAAATTTAATATTTTGTTGAGCACTACCAACGGATTTATGTATTTTATGCGCTTTCCGCTTTGAGTGTCTGGCACTGACTGTCGGTTTTTGCTTAAGTATTAGCGTTTTATACTCGTATAAAAAGATATTTCAAAATTATTTGTACCTTCTACAAATTGCTCGCACAACGTACACTCATGCTTAGTTCAAAGTGTCTGCTACCGATTTCTGCATTTGTGGTGATGACGTTAATGGGTAAAATTATTTCTTTTTGTTTGTGTTTGCGTGGTATTTTTTTTTTTTGTACTTCACCGTCCAGGGGTTAGAGATTTGGAACTTGGTTATTGAGATTTAAAAAATAGATATTTGGGCATTAAAGGCACTTATGCAAATACAATATGTACTTGAAAAACGTCCATAGCGTTTTATGGTTTATAATAATTCAATATGATAGCACTAGGTAGGAAGCAGTTATAGATTCCGGTGTAAATATTCGTTTTAAAATTTGTATTGTAACGGAAACTGATATGTTGTTGTTGTTGTATATATGTAATAAATAGTGTTTGTGTTTTTTACACCAAATTCAATTTCTAGCTCAGCATTTTGCAACAGCACACGGCTTTTCAGAATCGTTTACTGTCTATAGGAGCCAAGCAATTAGAAATGGCAGCTAATAACAACCTGAACATGCACAGTATGTCTCCACAGCATATATCATCGCTTAATCAAGGCATTATGCCTCAATCGGTTATTGCATCAACTGGTAGTGTCAATCCCATGATCGGCATGCCATCAATGCCGCAACCATCAAGCAGCGCACAAAGCGCTTGGGATCAACTTACCGCTTCCTCATCATCTTCAGTCAATTCGAATGTACTAAGTACCACGCCCACAACAAACATCATCGCTGTTGGTGGTAGTGCTGTTGGCTTGGGAATCGGCAGTACAACTAATTTATCTACATTACAAACGCTACCGACAGCAAGTAGTAATACTATTAGTGGTGTTGGTGGCACTATGATTGCTGTTAATACCGGCGCTCAAACGGGCGGCATAACGATGGGCGATCCCAACGGCCTTGGTTTGGGTAATACATCTGGTGGTAATTCACCAGCGGCTAGTTGCGCCTCTCCATCGACGCCCACAAAAACTAATGCACCTCCATTGGATGGTATGATGGCACACACGCCCACACAGGGACCACCTGCTATGCACAGTGGCGGATATGGCGAGGAATTGACGGCCGAGCTAGTGAATCAAGGTTGGCGCAAATTTTGGTCGAAACGCGAAAGTCGGCCTTACTATTGGAATAAAATAACTGGTGAATCGCTATGGGAAATGCCTGGCGCACGGCCGTTTGATCCACTCACAGATCCTTTAGGTATGCTTCTTTTATAAATTTATTAATTTATGTACACGTTAAATACTATTTTCTTATGCAGGCATTTGTCATAGCGGTGGTCAGCCGCCAATGAATCCCGGCATGCCTCATCCGCACCATATACAACACCCGAATTTAAAGCGTCGCCCCTCGGACGATATGCATCTACATCCACATCAACAGCATCCGCCGTTGAAGAAATTCGTCTTGGCTGGGCCTTGGGATTTAGAGATTTGCACGAATGCTGTAATTGTTGAACGACCGCCAACGTTATTGCCACAACCACATCCTGAAATCGAGGCTTTACGCGCTGCATACACTATGAAACTTGTAAAGACGTACGAAGATCTATGTATGCGTCGCGAAAATATTAAAGCGCCGAAAGACTCATTCAATCGCTGGCTAATGGAGCGCAAAGTAGTAGACACTGGCTGCGACCCCCTCTTACCGAGCAATTGCAAGATAGAGATTTCACCATCAATGTACAGGGAGATTATGGCAGATATACCGATAAAGATTGTTAAACCGAAATTTACAGGTAACTAGAGCAGATTTTAAATTGATTACAACGCGAACAGTGGTTTATGGTTTTTTACTTCCTCTTTTACAGGCGATGCACGCAAGCAATTGTCACGTTACGCCGAAGCCGCTAAGCAGATTATTGAATCTCGTTCGGCACCAGCCGAGAGCAAAAAGATCGTTAAATGGAATGTTGAAGATACTTTCCAATGGTTGCGACGCACTGTTGGCGCCAGCTATGAAGACTTTCAAGATCGTCTTGCCCATTTGAAACGACAATGTGAACCACATCTGGTGGAGACCGTTAAAAGTTCCGTAGAGGCGCTCTGCATTAAAATCTATCACTTGAGTGCTGAACATGCGCGTAAAATACGCGAACGTCATATGCAATTGCTCAAGGAGCATGGCATACCAGAGCCTACACCACCACCACCACCGCCTCATCTTAAGAAAGTCTGGTGTTATCCCATACAGTTTGCTGTACCATCGCCGCGTATGCCAGTTATCGAGTACGTACAGGATCGTGATCACATGATAATCAAGTACACGCCAAGTACACACAATCAGCCCGACGCGCAATATATAAATTTAACACATCTGCAGAAGTTAGAGCAATTGTATCGGCACAATTGTTTCGATGATAAAAAATTTGATTTGTTCATTGGAAGGGTTTGGTGCCTATTGAAGCGCTACCAGACATTCCTGGGCAATGCATTGAACTCGTCGCAGGAGGCCGAAATGACGCAGGCATCATTGCCAGTACCAGTGTTTGAATGTTTACATCGTCACTACGGTGTTAGTTTTGAGTGCTTTGCTTCGCCATTCAACTCGTACTTTAGGCAATATTGCTCGGCGTTCGCAGATACCGATGCATATTTTGGTTCCAGAGGGTGAGTGGAAAATTAATTTCGTGAAATGCTTGTTTTTTTAGTTACTGCTATTTTTTATTATTTCCGTAGGCCATTTCTAGATTTCAAGCCAGTTTCTGGTTCGTTTCAAGTGAATCCACCGCATTGCGAGGAACTTATCGATAGAGCGCTGCACCACATCGATAAGTTGCTCACCGATTCAATGGAGCCTTTAAGGTAACAGTTAATAAATAATATTAAAAAATTTAAATTTTAAAATTAATTGCGATTGCTATTAGCTTCATCATATTTTTGCCCGAGTGGAAAAGTATCGCAAAGCTGGAGGAGAGCATGTTCAAACGCCGATCAATGGTGGTCTTGGGCATGGCACATGAATACCGTCACGGCTATCAACACATTATACCAAAGTAAGTATACTTATAATTATAAGTAAGTAAGTATACTTAAGTTCTTCTATATTCCATATAAATAAATACTTAAACCCTTTCGCAGAGCCGATGTCAATGTGAAATGTATGCAAGGCACCCAAGTGGTTTGGTTACAGAATAGCGCAGGCCATGCACGCTGGGGTCCCAATGAAAATCGCGTAGAGGCGTTGCGTGAAGCATTCCGGCCACAACGCGATCGTGAGCGTGAGCGCGCTGCCGCCGCTGCGGCTGCAGCTGCATCATCGCCACAACCATCAATGCATCAATCTTCTGCAGCGCATACGCTCAGCAACAGCATTAGCGGCGGCAGCAATGCTATAAACACAAATGCCAGTAGCTCTGCAGCCTCCGCTACTTCTACCAACATCAATTCAACCAGCGCTGCGAGCAGCAGCACAATGCAATCAACAGGCGCGCCACTCTCACCACACACGCCACCAAATATGGCTACGTCATCGACCGGTTCGCCGGCTATGAGCATTCAAAGTGCTTGTTCTTCGCCTTCCTCTTCATCAATGTCACTTTCGCCTGCTGCTCCCGGTGCTGTAGGCATGCTAGATGGCAATACTTCGGTATCTATTACAGCCACAGCTACAACTGCAGGTGGTGCTTTCGCCAGTCTAGTAGCTGCTTCGACATCAGCCGCAAGCGTTGTAGGCAGCGGCAGTGTAATGAGTGGCGGCGTAGGCCCATCAGGTGCTGCAGGCAGCGCCATTAACAGCAATGCCGGACAAGCGGTTATCAATTCTGCAGTTTAAATATGCTTAGATGTTTTTTATGTAACAGGATTAAATTACAAATTGAAATTATATGAAGCGGTGAGCAGTAAAATAATAGTATAAGTACAAAATTATGCTACTAAGGAACTATATGTCTCCCAGCTCACCGGTACAACGTGCGCTGTATCGGGCCAGAATAGCAAATTCAAATATGAGTTATGTATGTATATGGCAACTTTTGTTTCTAATTTTTGGCGGTAATGTAATTTATTAATATTTATAAGGAAGAAAGTGAAATATGTAAGAAAAGAAACAAAGGAAAAAAAACTAGTAAAAAAGTAGGGCTAGCTTTAAAAAAAGTTAAAAAAGATGCAAAAGAATTGAATTCTTTCCAAGTAAGCATATAGATATGCATACATGCAATGAGTGTTTATACTTTACGATCACTTTACTATTGTCTATTTTTTAGCAATGTACATATATAAATACATACATAAACCATATTTTTAAAACGAATTTTTCGTTTTTGAGACGCTACTGCGGCGCCAAATGACAGAGCATTGCAATGTCTTCTTGTTCTATACTTTTTTTCTATTTCTATGTAGTTTTTACACTAATGCATAAAAAAGTATTTGATAATTAAGAGATACAGAATTTTCTTGCGACAATTGACTTTTTTGAAATTAATTTTAAGTTAACTTTAACGCTAAGGGCTGCAGAGTTGACTAACTCACGTTTGTAAACAAAAGCGTATAATTATAAATGTAACACTCAACATTTTTTAATTCTTTTGTTTTCATTTTAACCTGGGGTGGATCGAATACATGTTTGTATGTATGTATTAAATAAATAGCTAAATAGAATCCTCGCATCAGATGTAAAAAAAGATGGAAGTAGTTTATGAAAGTAATATGTATCTCATGAAAAATAGTGTAATTGAAACATTTTGAAATACATAGCTTTCATAAATAAAGCCGCGCTAGAATCGGGCGAGTTTTAAAGCGTTTACTAAAAAATAATGATGAAATGACGATTACAATTCGTTTATATTTTAATGTAGGCTTTTGGAACTCAGTAAGAAATTAGTGCTAGCACCTTAAGCGACAACCAATAGCAGCTTAAATATAATTTAAGATCATACGTTTTAAATGCATATGCATCAGTTTTCGCGTTCAAATTTACTTCAAATTATGTTTTTTCCAAACTCTTCTAATGCTTTTGCTTCTGTTTTCTTCGACCCGAGTATCTTTAAGTTAAATTTCAAAAAATTTAAATGACTGCCTATTTTGTATGAATGTTTATTTAATTTCAGTATTTTTATGTGATAAAATAATAAAAGGGCAGATAGACTACGTAAATTAAACTTTCATTCACTTTTTCTTAACCTATTACTTTGACAATGCTTATGACGCTGGGTCATACCGTACCCGTGTTGACTTCACGCTGAGTGCAAGAGCGGAGGCAGCAGACTGGAAGGGTTGTGGTCTTCAGCTATATAAACGCTCAAACACGTACTATTTAAAAAAAAAAATGTGGGTGTAAAAAGTCAGGTTGGGGAGATGGCGTCATTGGCGCCGAGTTAAGGGAATCAAAATTCGTTTATTGCAAAAAAAACAAACGAATCATTCCATGTTTACCAAATGGAAATTACACAGGGCTATCCGAATATCCGATTTTTTTTTTACTTTTTTTACGCCATTCGCTTGAATGAAATTTTGTTAGGTAACAACTTTTCGCTACAACTTGAAAAAAGGAGTCCCCATGCATAAAGAGAAAATTGAAATTAATAATGCACTATTATAAGAAAAAACTGATTTTTTAAAAAATTTTAGCTGAAAATAAAAAAAATAAGATTACTTAAACTCCAAATAGTAAGCTAAATGCTATCTAAAAAATGTACAAAAGGAGAAACAAATTGAATTAATAATAGATATAACGGCAAAAAAGCTTAAAAAATCAAATTCATGTATGTACGTCTAGTTACATAACTTTAAACGGTCATACAATAGCAAAACGGAACACGGCACCATCACTTCTATGTACTTTTCAACAAAGCGTAAACAATACAAATTTCGACGTATTAGCATTAAAACAAACTTAACCAAACATGTACATAGTACTAAAGTAAATGTAAAACTTGAATTATTGAAAGACACCTAGAGCAAAACATTGATTGAATGTGTGTATTGAGATTCTAAATAGGATGAAACAAATTTTTAATGCAAAGCAAAACTAACCAAATAACATTTAATTGCCTTCCCTTTTGTTTACTTTTAGCCATATATTAAAATAAATAAGTCATCGTAAACTCATATGCATGTAGGAACAATGAAAACACCAATGTAATATTAACTAAAATAACCATGTTTTAAAACTCCTCACAAAAGTTGAACGAAATGCAGTCGACAACTGAACTTAGTAATTTAAAGTCACATTTATGTGTTACAAATCGCACTCTTGCGTGCGCTTCTCTTTTTCTCACTCACTACCTTATGAATAGACTTTTTTGTTTCCTATGAATTTAATAGAAATGTTTGTTTTCGTATTTTAACTAATTTTGTATCAATTTACTAGCTCTTTCATACAAAATCATGTAATAACCAAACTCTCATTAAAAGGTATACAATAAATGTACATACATACTTACATACATAATACATGTATTAGCAAAATTTATTGTTAATAAAATGTTGCACCCTACTGACCTACTACTCATTGCAGCCGAAAAAATATAACTAAATGCATATGAAAAAAATAACTAAAAATTCAACAATAAATTGTTAACATTTTATTGAATTATTGCTAAAGAAAAATATTAAATAAAAAGGAAGTGTAGTTCAAACAACTTGTGTATAGTTATTTTGCAGGGAGATTTTTTGTTGTGAAATGAATGCCAAGGCAGGAAGATTTGGGTATATACAACATACATACATATGTACAATATAAGTTGATTTTTTACTTATTTGAAAAGCCTTTTTAATTAAAACTACTTTATTAATTTATCAATTTGTATTTATTAGCGCACACTATTTTTTATAATTTTAATTGTATTATGTATATTTAATACGAAATGCTACAACAACCCATTTCAGAACCAAGTCTGGATTTCAAATTGAACACCTACAGATGCGAAGAACTAATTATCAACGAAATTCAAAATGATTTGCAAATTATGTTTATTTATTTATTTTAAATAATTTTCATTTAAAGTATGATTCGATCTATAAAAGAAACCACAATAATAAAGTTTCAGAGCTTGCACAAATTGCAAAAAAAAAATTAATCCAACTTCGAAAAATTCTCATCAAAATTTGAAAATTTTTAATTAGATTATTTAGAAAATTTTCGGGTGTGCAGTTTTGTAGCCCAGTCAATTTTAGTACAATAAAGTGCAAGTTTGAAGTAGCTAGGATTTGCAGCTGATTTTTTTTTTTTTTTTTTTTTTTGTGGAGGGTGTGCGCATTTTCTTCCATATAACACAAAAAATCCGCAACATCCTCCACAAAAAAAATTCTAAATAATCAGCTGCAAATCCTAGCTACTTCAAATTTGCACTTTATTAGACTAAAATTGAATGGGCTACAAAACTTCACAACCGAAAATTTTCTAAATAATCTAATTAAAAATTTTGCAATTTTGATGACATTTTTTTGAAGTTTGATTAATTTTTTTGCAATTTGTGTGAGCTTTGAAACTTTTATTATTGATGTTTCTGTTATAGAACGAATTATAATTTAAACGAAAGTTATTAAAAATAAATAAATAAACATTTGTTCCAATCAATATCATTTTGAATTTCGTTGCCAATTAGTTGATCGCATCTGTATGTGTGTATACTCTTCGTGCGCCTATACGCTATCGGCTGTTTAATCGCCGCTTAAACAAAATATTTCCAATATTTGGAAGAGCAAAAGATCTGCGCCCATACTTTAGAGCTTGCTAATTGGAGATTAGAATACGAATTTGAAATTTTTACGCTGATTTGCCGTGGTTGGATAAGTTCAGTGTTGGCAAGCCAAATATCTTCAGATACATAAAAGCGAATAGGAAAGTAATTTTTTGCAGCGGTAAGTGGAGCACTAAGTTTTTACTTCAACCTCCAAAGTTTCATACGCTTGGTTAAGACATCGGTAGTATATCCATATACATATATGTAGATTCGCGCTTTCATGGCCAAATACCATATGTATATTTAGCTATTAGCATGTGTGTTGCGGTTGTCGCTATTGAACTCTACACAATATATTTGTTAATTTTTTAACTTATTCTGATCTGCATAAGCTACTGGGTATTTTGCGTTACTGTTGCATATCTTCCACAAAGCAGCAGCATAAGGTGTAGAAGAATGCAGACTTCTACATCATTTCCAAACTAGAATCACTATTCTTAGTGACCACTTCTGTTTCAGATGAACCTGACCCGGAGCCAGCATCATCGACTTTTTCGTTATCATCTGAATGTGATAAATGGGTGTGTAAGCGATGTGGAGTGGCCGCCAGCTGCCAAGCGGGTATTGAAGCAGGACCAGTAGAAAGAGGGGCTGCAAATTGTTTGCTGAAAAAATAACAAAGAAAAATCATAGATAAAGAATGTACACACAAATTTCAACAAAGGAATATAGATGCAATGCTTTTGTATTAACATTCCTATTGTAATTAGAGTCTAAATTTTAGACACACCTTTGTATCTATGTCTTAATTGCTTATAAACATACCGATTGAGCAGTAATCCTTTAATAGCCTCTAAATCGCTGCGAAAAACGTTGAATTCTTGATTTAGACTCTGACGTTGTTCACGCTGTTGTTCTTGCATTTGTTCCTTAATTCTTGCAAGTTCCCCACTTACTTCTTCGAGACGTGAATCGACCTTTTTGTCAATATCTTCGAGTGCGTCATCTACCGGTTTCTTCTTTTTCTTGCCAAATAGGTAGGGCTCAACGTATTTCTATAAAAGAGGTTGCAATTATTTAATATAAAACGTATAACATTCTTTATGCTTACGAACCTTCCAAAACAGGTAAATCGCATATGCAACACCACTGATGAGTGCCAAATTATGCAAAACTTCTTTGATGCGTCCGAAAGCGCTTTGTCTTGGCTGCAAGGCTAATTGCGGATACGCCGAACTACTGATACCCATATTAATTACTGTAGGCGACGTGTTGGGATCATCCCTAAAGGCACCAGCACGCCGGCAGGCAATTTCAACTTCTTCGTTAGTTAAGCCTTTCGATTGCAGAAATTGCCGTTTCTGCATTAGAGATGTGTGCCGTACTTTGGCATTTTGTAAAAAGTTTACAGCAGTCGTTATCTACGAATAAACATACATTTTTAATATACATACTAATTATAATCATGGATTTTTGTTATCAAAGGTGAGTTTTAATTGAACTTTGAGCATACAGTATGTTCTCTACTTACAAGTGCTTCGCGTGGGGCCACGACATCCAATGGTGTTGGTTCCCCGCCCTGTATTTCAGTTGAGGACGCAATTATTGTGGTATCACCAGTGTCCGTGTTGCTTGTGGCCATTATATCGACTTGCAATTTAATTTTGAAGAAATGTTTACAATTTGTTTATATAAAAATATGCCTTTCAGCAATTCTCTTTGCTAAATTTTCGTTTAAGAGATTCGGGTGATTGGGAAATGATAAGTAAATACTAAAGTACAATGGTACAACGATAAAGTAAAATCTCAACAGCGGGGCTGGAGAAATATTACGGCGACGTCGGCCCACAAAAGATTCTATGTAAATAGGAGCAAACAAATGGAAAGAAAAAACAAAACAAAAGTGAAAGAAAATGCACCATTGGTTTTTGACACTTGAGGGCAGTGTTGCAAGCCTTTTATAGGGGTAACTTGCTTAAAATTAAAATGTTAATAAGTAGTAGACCTAGGAATTAATTAAATTTATTAGGCGCTGATTAACATATTTTTAAAAAAATTTTTATTCCGGTTAATATCATGACAACAAATATTTGCCCAACACCCCCTTTAAGTATTTGAACGCCTGTAATTTGGAAATTGAAATTGTATTACAGGCAGCGCACCCTATGCCACAAACAAAACAAAGCAAATCGAAGAAATACTCAAACATAAAGAAAAGGCAATAAAAAGCCACATAAGAAAAGCTGGTAAACGATCGTGGATAAGTGAAACTGAAGCAGAAATTTTCACTGGAGAAATTTACAGGAAAACGGCATTATAGACTCGGTGTGAAGTTATAAAATATATAAAGTAGTTTATTTTTTAAAAGGATATTAGGCAGGTGAAGAGAATATCCAATTCTCAGTTCTTTGGCGTCGCGGGTAAACACTGCGACTGGCAAGCAAAAATACGACGAAAAAAAAATGGCTTGTGCAGCACCAAGTACTGGCAAAGAATCGACGACAGCGCTGAATGGTTCAAGTGGAAATAGTGGAGTAATAGGAGCAGGTAGTGTTGGAAATCCTAATACTGTCGGTGCCGCAGGATTGGTTAATAGTGGGGGCGGTAGCAGTTCAGTGACAAGTGCAGCAGCAGGTGTTGGTGTCGCTGGGAGTGCGGGTGGAGGGGCTGGTGGCGGTGGTAGCAGCGGTGTTGGAGGAAATGGTGGCGTTGCAGGAGCTAGCGGTTCAACCAGCGGTGCAACGGGTAATTCTAATGCTAATCGGCAGGCGCGTTTCGCAATGGAAGGTGTTGGGGCACGCGTAATACGTGGCCCAGATTGGAAGTGGGGCAAGCAGGTGTGTAAAATTATTTATTATCATTAAATACATAAGTATGTACGTGCGTATGTAAAACCGCTTTCACTCTTTTATGGTGATATCAAAGTTATGCAAAATTTGGCTTCTAGAATATGATTAAAAACGAACTCGGATTCTTACATATATGTATGTATGTAAAAAATTTATTTATTTATTTCGAGTTTATAATTAATACAAAGTTACAGACTAGATAAAAAACACTTTATTAACCAGAAACAATACTGATAACATGATTTTTTTTTTAATTCTATGCGATTGGCGATATGTTCACAATTTTTTCCTTCTATACAGTGTTACAAAACTCAATCAAAAACGCTCATATTGACGTAGCATTTTCAGTTTGCACCGAGAAACTTAAAATGCAGTAAGGTTTTCAAATCTTATTTCAGCCAGTCCAGATTTTTAAATGGGCTTTTCGCTACGTAATATATGTAAACTGCAATTAAGGTCCTTGGTTGATGAATAGGAGGCTTACAGGAAACATCATGTTATATATTACTTTGCAATGTCATTTATTGGTACGAGTATGTATGTACATATGTACATAGTTTACTTTTCTAGAGGCATAAATGCAAGGCTAGAACCTCCGGATTGTTGCTTTCATTAATATTTTTTCGTTAGGAATAAAATTTCACATTTCCAGAATATCTTCACTAGACTTTTTAAAATACTAATTCAAAATATGTATGTAAATTTTTTATTCTGTGAATATATGTATGTAAATCTTATAAAGGTATTTATTGCCAATCTTATAGTGAGTTAGTGTGTGACTAATGAAATAGGATGTGTGCACATACAGACATACATATGTATGTACATATGTACAAACTTATATATGCACATATGCATGGAAAAAAGTTAAGAAATCGTACTTAATAAAAGCTGTCATAATACTAGGAACGTGTACATAATTAAAACTTAGAAATGTGAAAATTATATGAAATTAATTATCAGTTGACCAAGTTTTGACCTAGGCACTCAATCACATGTTCCGATGTAAATAATTATATATAAATACATACATATACATATATCGCGTGTTTAAAAATATGTATACATAATTATTTAAAAATTTTAGTTTTATTATCAGTCGTTATTATTAGTAGGTATTATTATTGTAATTATTATTATAAGGCTAATTAATTGTATGATGAAATCTCCAAAAACGTAAATTTTGAATTATATCTCTATATTATTAAGCGTGCGATGTGTAAGATAGGCAGCCGCTGGGGCTCAGTGGGTAGAGGTACGCACTTCCACTCCATGGGATCTATGTTCGATCCCTGGTCCGGTCAACATCTAAATTATAAAAAGATTTTTCTAACAACTGTCGCTCCTCGGGTGACAATGGCAAAACTTCGAGTGTTTCTGAATGAAAAAGCTTCTCATAAATTCCATTTGCAACTCGGAGGTGGCGTAAAGTTGTAGTTGTAAGTTTGTGTTTTAACATCAGGATAGAGGAAAAGCTGGGCCTGACGCTTAGCAAAAGTGAGTACGCGAAATACAATTTTTTATGATGAATGATCTATTTCACGAACGATTATTGTGGTTTGCTTTGGAAGTTATTAAAATTATCGGGAAATTTTTTATTTGAATAAAAACAGATATTTCGACGCATTTGAGGAATTATAAACCTATTTACATTCCATTCTTTACAATTGAATACTTCTGTTAAGTACTCCCATAAGTCCTTGAAAAAGCATTTTAGAAAAAAACTGTCATGGTTATTATGTTTGTACTAATGTAAAAAGAAATATTTTTTTTTAAGTAAGCATGTTTATTTCAAGTTTTGAGCACAAAGTATAAAAATATGAATAAACTTAAATTTAATTTATTAAAAATACAGCCTGTAGTCTCGCAAGTCCAGAGGACTTTCCAAAGACTTCAGATTTTTAGACTCTTCGAGCCGTGTTGCTTTGGAAACATCTAAATATCAATCGCCGAAAATATATTTCATTTTACCTTTGTTTGGTTGTTTTATATTATTTGCTTATTTATCTTATTAATTTATTTTCCAGTTTTGTACCAAAGTCGGTAGATTACTCACCAAAATCCTATGGAAACCTAAAAACAACTGCAACAGCATAAAATTGGTTACAGTTTTCAATAAAATACAAGAAATTCGGAGCTTAAGAACTTGATTGTCTATTAAGTTCTTTAAACACTCCGTAAAACAAAATTTTTAGACAGGGCGCTTCTATATTAAGATAACATACATATATTTATTTTTTTTATTGTATATATACACACTTTTAGTTCTCAGACATTTATTAAATAATCGCTGCTATTGTAATTCCGCATCATACGAAACATAACGAAAGAACCCATCTCCACCATCAGGCAGAAAAGCATTTATAGCTTACATCGGCATCGCTTGAATTATCTCTCTATATAAGCGTGCTCGCCGATAACTCAATGATTATTGTTGGTGTTAATTTGTATTCCCACTTTCATTCCAATTTTTGCAATCGTGCAACGCTAAGTGCTTCTCAGTTGGCTTTGGATTTAACGAGATGCGCAACGCGATTTTTCGCTTCAAACCAAGGCACCTTCAAACCTAATTTTAACCTAGAATTCTAAAAGTTCACGAAAAATCCGGTTGTGCTTTTTTTACACCTAGTGCAATGCGTAAATACAATTACCGTGTCATCATATCTGTAGGTTAAAGTCATATACATACATACTTACGTACACACATTTGTATATGATTTATTTATACACCCAAGTGATATACTTTCTTGATTATCACTTTCTGTTTTTCTGCTGTATCACTTCAGGATGGCGGCGAGGGTCACGTCGGCACCGTACGCAACTTTGAATCTTCCGAGGAGGTTGTTGTCGTTTGGGATAATGGCACTGCCGCCAATTATCGCTGTGCCGGTGCCTATGATTTACGTATACTGGACAGCGCACCGACTGGAATCAAGCACGATGGCACAATGTGTGATACATGCCGGCAGCAACCAATTTTTGGCATACGCTGGAAGTGCGCCGAATGTATTAACTACGATCTTTGCTCGATATGCTATCATGGCGATAAGCATCACTTGCGTCACCGGTTCTATCGCATTGCCACACCAGGTGGAGAACGCATTATGTTGGAGCCACGGCGTAAATCGAAGAAGGTAGCGGTACGCGGCATATTTCCGGGTGCACGTGTAGTGCGTGGTGTCGACTGGCAGTGGGAGGATCAGGATGGTGGCGTCGGACGTCGCGGCAAAGTGAATGAGATACAGGATTGGTCTTCGGCGTCACCCCGTTCTGCGGCCTATGTTGTGTGGGATAATGGAGCAAAGAATTTGTATCGCGTGGGTTTCGAAGGCATGGCTGATTTAAAGGTAGTTATGCATTTGAATTGTTAAAGAGTTTTTGAATTGTTAGCGTTCTTTTTTTTAGGTTGTAAATGATGCTAAAGGCAATACGGTGTATCGCGACCACTTACCATTGCTGGGCGAAAATGGACCCGGTAAGGGACCTCATGGTTTTCAGATTGGCGATAAAGTTACTGTTGATTTGGATTTGGAAATTGTACAGTCGCTACAACATGGTCACGGCGGGTGGACAGATGGCATGTTTGAATGCCTCAACAATCCAGGCATAGTGGTGGGAATCGATGAGGACCATGATATTGTGGTCGCTTATAATTCGGGCAATCGTTGGACTTTCAATCCGGCGGTATTGACTAAAGTATCATCGCCAACAACTGCACCACCAGAATTTCAAGTCGGTGATATTGTGAAGATATGCTCCGATGTGGAGAGTATTAAAATGCTGCAACGCGGACATGGTGAATGGGCAGATGCAATGCAATTGGTTAGTTTTTTTTTAAGCTTGGCTTAAATTCAGTATAATCAGGCAGGTTCTGCAATTCACTTCCGAGTGAATTTAAACCCCTGCCATTTTGATTACGAAGCGTATTTCTTTCAAATTCACCTCGCTAAATATTTTTTATGTTAAAACTTTACTCTGATATGGATAAGTGGATGAACTCGTGATTGCGATATCGATAAAAATATACATTCGAAATGATATCGATAAATTTATCGATAATAAAATAAAAAATGCGACTAATACGGTGAAACATATCGATAATTGAAGCAATGATGATCTCGATAAGTATATCGCTGAACATATTTCTTGATGCAATAATTATAACAATAAATTCCTTGATAAAAGTATATAAAAATATTTGAGGTCCTTCGATATCGATAAAAAACGATTAACATACATATCTAGCGATAATAACTCTCGATAATGCTTCTGCTGCCAATAAATATATCGATTAATACATACATATGCCGAGAACAGGATTCATAAAAGTATCCAAAACGTCCGATCTCAATACAGGTTCGTTTTTGAAAGATTTGCTGAGATAGCGCGATCTTGAATCAAATTCTGACATAGGGCGTTCTTGAATCAAATTCTGAAATAGGGCGTTTTCCAACCGTTTGCTCAGATCGGACGTTTTCGCGTTCCCACGACATTCGAAAGACCGTCACTCCAGTGTTGATTCTGTAGGATCCATAAGAAGTTATGTATATTCCCAGATTTGATTTTTGTGTTGTGCCTTTTTTTAAGAGGGTGTGCGTTGTGTATGTATGTATGACTAAATGTACTTTTATTTCAAACATACATAAAACGGCCACCTGTTGATTTTTTCACCTTCCTTATAGTGGTAACTTTTTATCTATTTTTATAGACTCTTGGCAAGTTGGGTCGCGTACAGCAAGTTTATCACGACAACGATTTGAAGGTCGAGGTAGGTAACACCTCCTGGACTTATAATCCGCTGGCAGTCACTAAAGTGGTAAGTATAGTATGGAATTACGATAGCCTTTTCCACAAAAAAAAAATTAACTCATAACTTCGTATATTTTCCAGGCTTCTGCCTCTGCTGATGGCAGCTGCGTGCCGGTCATTTCAAGTGGGGAGCGTTTGTCTGCTATTTTAAAGAAACTTTTTGAACCAAATGTATCGGGTGATGCTACCGAGGAGTTCGTCAAAGCAGCAGCTAATGGCTATGCTGTGAGTGGTTTTTTCGTTCCTATATATATTTTTTAATCTAAATATATTTTCCTTTCATCAGGCCCGCTGCGAAGAGTATCTTTCAGGCGCTGTACAGCCAGCTACTTCAGCCGCTGCTGGTGGTGGCACAGCTACCGCCGGTGGTGTTGCTACCGGTGCGCCAGTTACCGTACCGGATGTAAATGGCGTATTCGCCGGCCACACTGCCCTGCAGGCAGCCAGTCAAAATGGACACACCGATGTCATACAAGTGTTGTTACGTCACAATGTAGATGTCGAAATCGAAGATAAAGATGGTGATCGTGCTGTGCACCATGCTGCTTTTGGTGATGAACCTGCCGTTATTGAAATACTCTCTAAGGCAGGCGCTGATTTAAATGCTCGTAATAAGCGGCGGCAGACGGCACTTCACATCGCCGTCAATAAAGGCCACTTAAATGTGGTGAAAACCTTACTGTCGCTGGGTTGTCATCCCAGCTTGCAGGACTCGGAGGGCGACACCCCACTGCATGATGCTATTTCGAAAGAGCATGATGAGATGCTTTCCCTGTTGCTCGACTATGGAGCCGACATTACGCTAACCAACAACAATGGCTTCAATGCTCTGCATCATGCTGCGCTCAAGGGCAATCCGAGCGCGATGAAAATACTACTTACGAAAACCAATCGTCCTTGGATTGTGGAGGAGAAAAAGGATGATGGCTATACTGCCTTGCATTTGGCGGCGCTGAATAATCACGTCGAAATTGCTGAGCTGCTCGTACACATGGGCAAGGCCAACATGGATCGGCAGAATGTGAATCTGCAGACTGCTCTCCACTTGGCAGTTGAACGTCAGCATGTGCAAATTGTTAAGCTGCTCGTGCAGGAAGGCGCAAATTTAAACATTCCCGACAAGGATGGCGATACGCCATTGCATGAAGCATTGCGCCACCACACGCTCTCGCAGCTGAAGCAGTTGCAGGATGTGGAAGGCTTTGGCAAACTTTTAATGGGATTGCGTAATCCGAACAATAAAAAGGCTTCAGCTTCTATTGCGTGCTTCCTAGCGGCAAATGGTGCTGATTTGACATTGAAAAATCGCAAGCTACAAACACCACTTGACTTGTGTCCCGATCCGAACCTTTGCAAAACTCTCGTAAAGTGTTACAATGAACGGAAGACCGATGACTCGGAATTGCCAGGCAATGTAGCCGGCACTAGCTTGAACGCACGTGCACGCGCGCTCGCTACACCAGTTGGTGCGGGTGCCGGTGTAGGCGTAAACAGTGGTGGGGCTTTAAATACCTTGCCAGTGGTCGCTGGTGCTGGTGGTAGTGTAGGTGTAGCTACCATTTCCGGTGGTATGCATCACTCGACATCGACTAATCTACCACTAAGTACAGTGATAAAGGGTGGAAGTGGGCCCGCTGGGATGGCTGGCGTTGGTGGAGATGTGCGCAATAGTAATGCAAGTGGTGGCGTAGGCGCCGGAGGCGGTTTGAATAGCCTGGCTAAAGACCTATCACAATCGCTGCATGTTGCCAATGATGCTGTGAAACAGTCTACCTTGGAGGAGTGCCTTGTATGCTCGGATGCCAAACGCGATACGGTCTTTAAGGTAAGGATATAATGCTTAAACTTAAATATATGAAACTTAATTCTTGAAATCTCTACCTTTCACACACAGCCATGCGGTCACGTTTGCTGCTGTGATACTTGTGCACCACGCGTCAAGAAGTGTCTTATTTGCCGGGAAACAGTCTCATCGCGCGAGAAAATCGACGAGTGTTTGGTTTGCTCGGATCGACGTGCTTCCATATTCTTCCGCCCTTGTGGTCATATGGTGGCTTGCGAAAATTGCTCTGGACTAATGAAAAAGTGTGTGCTGTGTCGCACACAAATTGAAGAAATTTTGCCGTTTTCTTTGTGCTGCGGTGGCGCTGGCATTGTTGAAAAGGTAAAGTCTGCAATTAAGTTGTTTTTTTTTTGCATAAAAAAAAAATCGCGCAACTACTTTTTCTTTCCTACAGGTTCATGGCGTTGGCCACTGCTTTACCGACGATAAGTCTAAGGAAGTGCATTGTGTCAATACTTCTGGACATGGTGTAGCTATGAATAATACTATGCCTGGAGCTATGAGTACACCCATAGCTAGCGCAAATCAGTTGAATAGCCAGAATAATATTTTGGCTAACAATGCTGCAGCGGCTGCAACAGCTGCTTCCAGCGTTTTATTAGCACCATCCAATGTGAATAACTTTCAAATGGACGACGTGCAGAAACTTAAGCAGCAGTTACAAGATATTAAGGAGCAGGTGAGTTTTGTCTTGAGAGGATTTTTTTTTTTAGCATGCACTAACACTTACAAAAATTCGAAACTCGTAATTACTATCTCTATTCTCAGACAATGTGCCCCGTTTGTTTTGATCGCATCAAGAATATGGTATTCCTTTGTGGTCATGGTACTTGCCAAATGTGTGGCGATCAAATTGATGGCTGTCCGATCTGTCGCAAAACTGTGGAGAAACGTATTCTGTTGTTTTAAAAGCCAAGCGCCACAGCTATTATCAAATATGTATATCAACATTGCAATCTCCATTCGAAATTACTATCCATATCTACTTAGCGACTATTACTGTAAACCTAGCGCTTTTACTATAAACAATTATCTCATATGCAACTGTATATTTCAAACTTGTGTACTATCGCCGACTTTAAAAAAATAATATAAAATTTATAATCCTTGTGAAATTCACTCAAAATTAGCTTATATTCCAAATTCATTCAACCCAAGCATGCATCCATATATTCACTGCATTCCCTATTAGTCGTAAATAATTATTTTATACAGCAAAAAAATGCTTGAAGCACAACACACTGGCACAAGTATACATATTCTAGTAATTCGCAATTTTTGTGTATCTTTTGCTTGCTAAACACTTATCTATTTAGTTGCTCTCATTTATTAAAATTTTGAAAAATATTCGTACGCCTTAAATGTATCTACATGCATACAAAATGTTTGTTGTATTAATTAAATCATTCCTTCATTTTGATTTTTTAGTATCTAAGCACAGATTTCAAATTGCAATGAATTGAGTTTTTCATAAACGATACAATTTTATTTGATTATTTGATATATATATACATACATTTTTACTGACGTAGTTAATAAATAAAGTGCAAAGTATAATTTAAAAAATTGTAATTATTGCCCAATCCACAACATGGGGGATCCGACAAAGTGCTCAATACCGCGGGACCAGCCTTCTAAACATCGACTATAATACAGCTGCCTTAAACGACGTTGAGCAACAGCATCATCACCGTCGGAGTTGGGAAAGACTTTGACAGCCGTGCTTGATCTAACTTTAGATTTTCGGAATGCATAATTTTAGGCGGCCTATTTCGCTATGGTCTCAACTGATACTGAACAATATTTACCCGTTTACCTTGAATTTTTTGTTATTATAAAAGATAGGATGTTGAAAGATTTAAGACCGAGCTTCTTTGGAAATACATATGCTAATTTCCATATCGTAGAATGTCAAGACTGATGGGGAAAACCTGCTGAAGTAATGGTTTTTAGCCCTAAATAAATCTGAATCGTTCCGGCAACATATATGCGACTGTAACGAACGCACCAATTATCAAAATAAAATTTATTTTAAACAAAAGACGGCGTTAAATCACTATTGCATATTAAGTAAAAACAAGTCTTCTACATTACAATAGTAAATACATATATATTTTGTCTTACTTTATTACATACATATAACTGAAATACACAATATGTACATGCTTAACTCAATCGTTTAATGGAGGGATATTTTTTAACTGAAAGCAAACACTTAAAGCGAAACAAATACTTTTTTTTATGTCCAACTTATTTTCTTTTACATGCATAATGCAACTACTTCTGGATTTATAAAAATATTTTAACTTCATTATCAAATGCATCATATCAATTTGTCGATTGCAACTTCAAACAAACTTCTAAGCTAATATTCAAATCTGGTTTATATTTATTTATAAGTCGCAACAAATTCAACTTCCTGTGTTTTGAGTTATTTGATTCCAATTCATAAAGCGTAGATAAGTTTACTAATAAACTTTCGTTGAGTGATTTTTGTGGATTTAAATTAATGGCATGTTCGAATAGTTTTATAGCATCCTTTAATTTACCCTCGTAGAGCAAACAGACGCCCATGTTGTTAAGTATCATTGTATTGCCGGATTCTAAATGCAATGCTTTCTGAAAAATGGCATAAGCGCCACGAAAGTCATTTTCGGCCACAGTTATTAGACCTTTATCCACCAAGTCACGCAGGTCAGGCGTGGAATTGCTGTAAATGTACCAAAGAATTTATGTAATTTTTTTACTTTTTCAGTATGAAAAATTTCACACACATTTCACGCATCCGACGTGCTTCTGCAAATTTCTGCTCTGCACCAAAAATGTCACCAATCTGTAAATAAATGCGTCCCCAAGCAGAATACAATGCACGCCGTTCTTCCTTGCTCAAATCAGCGCTTTCCAATATCATGCCGCGTATGATGTCATCAATCAAATTGAACTTCTTCATCTATTTAATAAAAGAAGAGTTAATATAATTTACATATCAATTAAACGTTTACTCACTATTAACGCACAATTGACTATGGAATGTAGTACGCGTATTTCACGTCGCCACCAAAATTGCTCTGCATCTTTCGGTTCACGTCCAGCGAAATACTTTTTAATTTCATTACTTATCACATAAAGCTCTGACAGTCGATCTAAGCCTAAATGTGGGTTTCCCATATAAATGGGCAATTCGGCAAGTAGTAAGCGAAAGGAGAAGCAAGCAATTGAGCCTGTTTTTCCATTATACATTTCTGGATAGAACTAGTAAAACAGGAAATTAAGTAGTAATAAAATTTCAATTAAGGTCAAAGAATATGTACTACCTCATAGTACACATCTGGTCGATTAAGTTGATCGAATGGTTCTGCTTCTGCCTGCAGCAGCTCAAATTCACCCAATTTCGCCAAAAGCGCTAGACGTGTGAACCACAATTGCAGTGAGTGCGGCGAATGTTTGGCCGGTTGGCCGGCACGGCCATACCCCTGGCCATAGATAGTCAATAAACGTCCAGTGAGATTGACTGCCGAGCGATAGCAACCAGCGCTGATCAATGTACGCAGACCACGTTCATCTTGTGTGACATTGTCCACACCTAGAATTTTGCGTTGTGCCAATTCGGCTTCACCTAAATGCTTATGTACAGCCTCGGCAATAAGATCAGACTATTCGGGGAAGAAAGTTAAAAATGGAAATTTGTACCAAAATAAAAACCCCGCGTTAAATGCTTACCAAATCAGTTGGTGTTTGTATGCCCGGTGTGGTGAGCAATGGAGGGCGTGTACCAACAGAGTCGCTAGATGCAGGCTCCCAGAAATTACGCACATAGTCGGGTACTTTAAGATCATCTTCACCGTCTGCAGGATTTTCTATATATTCGGGTGCTTTAAAGGCACCACTAAAGGTATTTGCAGTTAGATTACTGGGTGCCGGCTGAGGGGATTTCTGATTTGAGCGTGGTGCTGGCACGGGTGATGAGTTGGGGACGGTGGGCAGACAGGGATCTATTTGTTTTGAATATTTAAAAAATTGTTTATAAAATAAAATTTTCACACTTTACCA